AGTGATCAAATAGAAGTATTATATAGCACTTGCATCTCAATCTCGCTCCAGGCGTTGCATGAACGTCCAATTATAATTGGCGCCACCAAAACGCGCGTCATGGAAACACCGGAGTTTGACACCGACGCAGTGGGTAAACTTTATGACTACCGATGGCACACTTCGAAGAGTGCAATGAGGTATTTTATTGGTAAAAAGAAGACCAGGAAGAACAAGCCAGAACATAACAAGCCTTCAATTGTTCTTCGGAAATCGTCTGCTAAAACAATTGCAAAGCAGTCTATTTTCGAAAACAGTTGAAGGCTTGTCATGTTCTGGCTTGTTCTTCCTGGTCTTCTTATACCAATGAAATAGTTATTGTAAACATCACGTACGTACTGTGAAAAATCAAAGGGCGCTCACACAAGACTGTAACATGTGCCCATTGCGTTTGACTGGCGAGTCGAACGGAGTAGAACTGGACGCACTTTGAGCCGTGTATACACATGGTTTAATTATCGCGGCTCGGCTGCGTTCCCGCCGGGCAGGACCACTGCTTGATGACGCACCGCAGGCCCGACCGCAGCCCCGGCCCACCCCGCCGCACCACGTGGGCCTGGGCCCCGCCTGGGTCCCGCCGTCGCGCCATCGCCGACCCCTATTGCCGCGCAAGGCAAAGGTGAAGGTGAGAGAGAAAACAAGACAGAAGATTGAAGGGGGAGAGTGTGGAAGGGGTGAAGAGGGGGATACAGGGAGAGAGAGGGGTACAGAGAGATAGAGATAGAAGGGTGTGAGCGCAAGAGAGATGGCGAGAGAATAACAACAAAGCAGACGTGGGCGGGCGAACGGCCAGGCAGAGAGAGAAAGAGCGACGGCGGCAGGGAGGGATCCCGTATCAGCCGCATCGAGGACGAACAGCGCCGCCGCACGTCGCCACCTGCCAGACGCACGTGGTTGTGTGTGTGTGTGTGTGTGCGTGTGTGTGTGAGCTCCTCTCGTCGTCATCGTCACCCCGTCGCCTCGCGTCGATCTTTCTTTTTTGTTTGTGGTCGCGCTCGCTGGTGTGGCGCGCGCAAGCGCATCCACCCACTTACTACCGCTCATCGAAAATAGAAATGGTGAGGTGACTCGCGTGTATATGCGGTCGGGCCACAGGAGTGAATGAGAGGGGGCGTGACAAGTGACAAAGACACAGCGGGGCGTTCTATTTTTTCACCCAAGGGCGGGGCGGGGTGAGGCGGGGCAGGGCGGGGACTGCCGCTTCATTCACACATTCGCGGCATTCGCGGTTGTTATTCGATACAATCGAGCGGGTGGCGTGGCGGGGATTATTGTGGGAAACGCGTCGGAGCAAGACCTCGTAGGCGTGCGGCAGGTGGCGTGGCTTGGCGTGGCGTGGTGAGACGCGAGCACAGCCCAGAGCTCGCAGTGTCCTCGGCCGCGAGCCCCGCCTTGAGTCGCCCGCGGCGGCACTCCCGCGGCGGTACAAAGAGGAAGGGAAAGGGG